GTTGTATTCGTCAAAGAAGGGCTTTGGATTTTTCCCCGTAAACCAACCCTTTTAAACCCTAAACCCTAAACCTTAAACCCTTTGGTGTGTGGCCAGGCCGCAAAACCAGCCGGTCGACGGAGGCGCTGGCTGGCGTGTGTTGGGGTTTGAGGTCACCCTCAGCCCTCATACCGAAAGCCTCCCCTACATCCTAAACCCTACCTTGAACTGCCATAACCTACTTTTTTTGTAGGTTCTTATTGTAAACCCTAATAAGGGATTTATAGGGACCCTACAAAAAAGTAGGTTTTGGTCGGTTAAGGTAAACACTTCCTGCAAGCCGTTTGAAACATATCCTCGACACGTCTTGGGGTTTAAGGTGGCCCTAAGCCCTAAAACCGAAAGCCTCAACCGGCATGTTTTGGGCCCCTAAACCCTGAACCCGTAAACCCTAAACCCCAAACCCCAAACCCTAAACCCTAAACCCTAAACCCCAAGCCTTATTTGGGAAAGGCGTGCAGAGTAGCAGATCTCAGTTTCGAGGGTTTTGCGGGTTTGGTGCGACGTGGTCATTACTTAAAGGATCATGGGACGTAGTATGTAGGTTATAACGGTTATAATTGGGGTTATAAGTCCCCTAAGTGGGGTTATCCATGGTTATCCTAATTATAACCTACTTATAACCTTACTTACTAAGTCCCATGAGCCTTTAAGTAGGAGTCTTTCAACGACAGGCACCGCCGTGTGGACTTCCTGCAGGCCGTTTGAAACATATCCTCGACACACCCCTAAACCCTAAACACCCCAAAGTCTAAACCCTAAACCTGCCAGAAGCCCTAAAATCCTGCATTACCTTAATGACCCGAGACTATGGGAATTATGGTATATTCCTCATTATGGGTATTGCAGGATGTATATCATCCTAAACTCTAGACTTGCCAGAAACCCTAAACCATAAGCTCTAAACCCGAAACCCCAGAAACCCTAAACTCTAAACCCTAAACGTGCCAGAAGCCCTAAACCCTATACCCCAACCCCTAAACCCCAAAACCCCAGAAACCCTGAGCCCTAAACCCTGCCGCCAGGAGGTCTAGAGAGCTCTCTAGACCTTCTGCGGGAATAGAAAGAGGCGCTGAAAAGAAAAGCAACGCCGCCAGGAGGACGAGCCTCGCGATCCCTTCGCCGACATCCCCGAGGAGGGCTCCTTGGTCCTCAATGCCGAGAAGGCGGGCGACTGAGGGACCGTAGGTTTAGGGTTTTAGGGTTTAGGGTTCAGGGTTGGAGATTTGTGCTTTAACCGGCTTCGTCACGTTTTGATGATACTTATTCTAGGCCTCCCAGTGGGGCCTTTTTCCCTTTTTGTAGTCCTAGGTTCCTTATAAAGTTACCCAATACCAAAAAGGGAGCCCTTTTTATTCGTAGATTACTGGGCATCCCAGTATTGGCTGTAATTCTGTGTCGATACGTTTTCAGGTTTCCATAAGGGAATCGGGGAGGGGATTAAGTAATAGCGTGCCCATTTTTTTGCTTGGAAAGGGTTTCTGGGGAGCCAACAAAGATAAAAAAAAACATGGGTCTGGGTTGTTTTGCGGGTTTAAGTTGTGCGGCTCCAGAGTTGCTACGCCCGTACCGTTTTTTCTTTGTGCTTAACCTTACCCCAGCCAGTGGAGGCTGAATTCGGTCTGGAATGTGCTTGTTATGATGCTGCAAAAGGGGGTGCTGCGTTACTGTCAGCCGCTGACGGAGCCGCGGATAGGGCAGCCGCACTTCATCTTCTTCCTTGCATGTGCTGAGGCTGGCCCAGAACATGTCGGATCCGTGTGCACAGGGATCACAAGCCACCTCGTGATTTGCGAATGGTTCCGAACGGTTCCGATGTTGCTCATTGCAGAGAAGGCCGCAGCACCGCATTCACAAACGTATGTTGAATGCCGACGCTCACCGTGTTGAGCTGCTGCTTGGGTGGTGGCTCGCAGGACATTCGGAAGGTGGACGCATTGGGGCCTTTGGGTTTAGGGTGGCCTTTGGGTTTAGGGTTTCGGGGTGTGGAGCTTAGGGTGCGGGCTTGAGTGGGGAGTAGAGCTGAGCACTGAGTAGGGGCATGTAGGGGCTATGGGGCATCATCCCTCTAGGTTTTGGGGGGTCCAGGCATTGGGGGTTTAGTACAAGGGCCTGGATAATTTGTGGTAGTATCTTGTTATTGGAGTTCCTCTACAACAAAATCAATGAAAGCCGCACAAACTCTTGCGTGACCAGTACGGTCTCTGTATTCAGCCTTGGCAGTTGCAGTCTGTGCTCGCATTTCGGAACGGGGTGCAGGAGAGTTTGGGGGCATGGGGTTCGCGGCTTCAGGTCTTGCAGGTTATGGGACACTGCAAATTTTGATTGCCGAAGTCGGATTGTTAGGGTTTGGGGTGAGGGATTTAGGCTTTTGAGGGTTTTGGTGCTTTGAGGATTGTGGGTGGAGGTTTGCAAAGCCTTGAAAGATTAATGCCTCGCGAATGGGCTTTGGATCTTGCGCGTCAGCATGCTTAGCCGTAAACCGATGGGAGAACTGTGTTTGCAGTGATAGCTGGCGTGCAAGAAACCCGAGCGAGCGAGTGAAGGGTGGGTTTAGGGTTTAGGGCGTTGAGGGTTGAGTCAGGGTTTAAACCCAAAGCCCTAGACGCTAAACCGTGGTGTTTATTGTTCACATCTTCACGGAGGTCAGTTGCGCTGCCGACCTGTCAGCTACAGTTTCAAGTCCCCTGCGTGTTTTGCATCCTACCGTGTTATATGGGTAGTTGTCAAAATTATGGCCCCTTCTTGGGTACCCTAATTATTAGGTGCCGTATTACAATAAGGACCCAAAAAAGACCCTAAGTTTGACAACCACCCATATGTATACATAGACACACACACACACATCATTTTCTCCTCCTCCTTCTTTTTATTCTTATTCTTGGTGTTGTTCTTATCATATGTATATGTATTTGAACTGCTTACCCAATTCCGATAGCTTGGATACAAGTAATTACGGTGATAGCGACGGCACCCCGAAAGACGGTTTAGGGTTCCGGTGTTTAAGGTTTCGGGTTTAGGGTTCATTGTTTAGAGTTTAGGGAGAAGCCCTTTCAGTAGAGCAACCACACCGAGAAAGCTACAAGCCATCAAGCACCAACCCCTCCGAAACCCTGAGCCTGCACCAGGGGGAGTATTCGAAGAAGGCCTCATTACCTGAGGCTGCGGGGGGCTTTACAGTTTAGGGTTTAGGATGTGCGATTTGGGGCAGAGGCAGGGGTTGGATGCCGAAACCTTGTTGAAAAGGCTTTCGCTTGCCAAGAGCACTTAAACTAACCGAGACCCACAACTCTTAATCCCCGAGCTCCATGTTCAAGGGTCTTGAGAACTTTTCCGTGGGCGGAATGATGTGGCACTCACCGAGAGGAGCAAACGAAGACTTCGACTTACGTGAACCCTCAATCGTGGAGCCACCTGGTTGTCTCGCTACGCGAGACCCTACATCCTAAACCTGACCCAAACCTTAACCCTGAACCCCATGCCTGAAACCGTGAATTTTAATTCAGCTGAGGCTCCCAACACTTGGAAAATCCTGACCTGACCCCTCTTGAGCCTAAACCTCAAAGCCCGAAGCCCAAAAACTCTAAACCTGAAAGCCCTATATATAGGGTCCTTATAATTAAAAAAGGGTTTTGGGGCCCATTACACTTTGTTTAATCGCTATCCTCATGTCCTTAAGATACAGTATACGGGATCCTAGCACTAATCCTCCTAAGCCCATGTTCCAACTTTCTGTGGTTCACTATATTTCGGCCCCTATCAAGCCTGAAAGCCCAATGCCCTATGCCAACAACCCCCGTCTGAAGCGCCAGAGCTGGTATGAAGCGCTAAGGCCCTAGGGCCCCGAAGCAGGTTTTGTAGGCTGTTAAAGGGTTTGTAGAGTTTTAGGGGTTTTAGGGTTTAGGATTTAGGTTTAGGGTTTAGGGGTAGGGTGCTATAGGTGATAGACCCTGAACCCCAATCCTAAGAACACATCAGGGAGGCTTTACGCCCGCAGGCTTAGCGTCTTTCGAGAGACTGCGTGCATTGGGAGTGAGGGCTTAATTGAGGGCGTGCAGGCATAATGTGATCTGGGGTTAGGGGCTTTGCGGATTGCTTGGAGGCTTGGAGGATCATGGGACTTGGCAAGTCAGGTTATAAGCCCCTTAATTGGTGCTACAAGTAACTAGTGATAACCCTAGTTGCTCCGTCCCATGAGCCTCCAATTTGGGTTGAGGGGTTAGAGTTGGAAAGGTATACAGGCAAAATGGCGACATTTAACGCTGTTTTTCTTCTCGGCTTCGGCGGAAGTTGGCGTGACGGAGTTCTCCGTATCCCTTGATAGCCAGAGACTCCAAAACCATTCAATTCGGATATTCCTTAAGTTTCTGAGCGATCCTGCATCGTTTATCTGGTTCCTCAGTTCGTGGGCTTGGAGTCTACCTGGCACAGCAATCCTGAATCCCCGAAAGGACTAAGCCAAAAAGCCTGGCATGCGAAATCAGCCCAAGCACCGAAGTCCTAGATCCTTGAACCTGCCCCAGACCTCTTCCAAGCCTAAACCCTGAACCCTAAGCCCTAGACCCTAAACCCCACAAAAATCCATGCAGTTCGAAATGCTGCGAGACGAGGGCGAGGAGGAGGAAAAGGCCCTCCCGGCAGTTTCGCATGAGTTCAGTAAGCCGAGCGTGTGCAGAATTGTCATGCCCTACTTGCAGGATCATACTTACTAAGGTTAGCAATCGGGTGAATACACTTATAATATCTACTCACAATCTGCCAGTTAATTTTCTGATAACCTGACTTACGAAGTCTCATGATCTTCAAAGTACCCCCTGCTTGCTTGGCATCCCTTGCGCCCCTAGGTCAACAAGCTTGCACACGCATTTTGTGATGGAGAGTTGTGGGTTCAGTGGCTCAAGTTTACAGCCCGGCTATCGCAATCGGAGTCCAGGCTCCGGGCACTCCTGGTAATAGGCCAGATGGCCGGAATACCATGGAGCCGGCTAAATGGGCCTGCGAAGGCCACCATCGTGGCGGCATTGGTGATCAGTCTCATCGGCAGCATCCTTTTGGCCATCGTCCTAGTGGCACAGAATCGGGATTCCGCCGATTCCACGGATACGAATGTCGATGCCTTCATCGTAAACGGGCTCCGAGACTTTACCCTGTCCAGCAGCAGCGGCAGTTTCTGGAACATGAGGTTCTATACGTCAGAAAATGTCACGAGCTGCCAAGCCCACGTGGACTCACTGAATATCACTCATGTGGAGACAGGGAGCCGTGAGTCTTTGAGAAACAGCTGGTGCCCGAATGAAACCCTTTCCGACTCTAGGCATCGATTCGCGAAAGTTGTTGATTTCCTTTGTTGCTTAAGATAGAGCCCTAGCAATAATTTATACATAATTTCGGGCAGCTTGTTGAAATCGACACCTAGGATTGGTTCGCCCTGTACATGGAAACTTACATAATCGGAGACTTCCGGCCTGACGAGGACTGGGGCACCTACACGGTTACCGGGCTTTGGAGTACCATACTTTAATACTTTGTTGGGGACCTCTTACTTAAAGGGAACCCATTATGAAATAAAAGTCTAGACTTTTTTCGCCGTGGTTACTTCAATGCCAAGGTTACTAGTGGCTACCCCACATGGGTGGAGGATCTGGCAATTGTTTATGAAGCCCAAAAATCTGCGAATGAGCTTTCCCCGGCGTTCAGAGTAGTGGGTATTGTGGGCGTTGTCATGATTTTACTCGGGACCGCCCTTTGCCTCGTGGTGGGCAGTTGCCGAGGCTTAAGCGTTCGCAGAGACATTTCTCAGTTTGGTCCGGACCATCCGGTTGCGGCGGGGGCTTCTCCCCCAGCCTACACGGGGGGTGTTCAGGTGCCGGTCGTGGTGATGGCGCAGGTGGTGGGACAAGGAGAGGAAAGTCAGAAGGCGTAGATTGTGCAAGGATGCTCCGGTCGAGCAATGCCGGGTTTTTGAGTTTCCAGCTCAGAGCTAACGCAAAAGGGCTGAGGAGAACCGCCGAAGCCGCGGGTTCTCACAGCAGGCAATGTAGGCTTTAGCAACGCCGTCAGCTCATCACGTGATCCAGAAGGTAGAAAGAGCCCAAACCCGAACCCATACGATGCTTAAGAGTGGCCCAGGGTAGTTTAGCGTTCGGTCCTTAACCCTATGACCAGCCTTCGAATTGGCAAATGTGGTGATGCTTGTATCTGTTGGTTTTTCTCGGCCAAAGGCCGCCTTGCCAGAGGTCTCCGTTGTTCAGGGTTCATCGCCTGGCAACTGCACTAAACATTCTACTTTCCGAAAGCCTGCCTTCACTTCGGCGCAGAAGAAAGGACATGTGTGGCCCTTGGGCGACGTGGCATGACACTTGGGCATTTCCGAGGATTCCACGTTGGGATTCTGTTCTGGACACTAAACTAGACCCTGAACCCTCAGCCGTCTTTTCAGTATATACTCCTACGACCTGCTTTGCAGTCGGCCGCGACGAACGCATTGTGTTTCGACAGACGCAATCCATAAACCAACAACTCGAACCCTCTCTCTCTCTCTCTCTCTTTCTCTCTCTCTCTCTCTCTCTCTCTCTCTCTCTCTCTCTCTCTCTCTCTCTCTCTCTCTCTCTCTCTCTCTCTCTCTCTCTCTCTCTCTCTCTAGATATATATTAATAAAATGTGAATAATAATTTTTATTATCCTCCACCAAGGCTCCATCCCTGCGTTTGATTGGGAATCCATTCACACTGCGGAAAAAGTCACGAGTTATTCTCCTTGAACTGGAGCTTAGGATAAACAGGCCCCCTGAACCCTAAACCATGAACCGCAATTCAACCCAAAACCCAAAATCCTGCATCCGAAAACCCAAAGACGGCCCTGAGCCCTGAAGCAAAAGAGCCAGGCGGACCAGAAGAGTCCGTGCTTGCCCCAGCCGTCGGGGGAAGCCTTCGTCGTCACTGCACTGCGGGTTGAAACCTTTAGATCCTAAGACCATACCAGCACCCCCCAAGTACCCTTGAATAGAGCCCTTGTTTATGATCCTTAATAGTGGGTATTTGGGGTATATAAGAGGGTACTTGGGAGGTCTAGGTAAGGTTTAGATTTAGGTTTAGTCTAGGGTTTTGTGTTAACTGGCAAATCGTGGAGGTTTGCCTTGAGGGTTTAGGGTTTGGCTCTTGAGGTTTAAGGTGTTGCTACCTCCGCGGGAAAGCATTAGCCACTTTGCCCCTCTAAACCTTAAAGCTGAGCTGAAGCCGCACCTTAACCCCTAAGCCCTACCACCAAACACCAGAAACCCACTGTCTTCTTGACTCCCTGCCTTCAGGTCTGTAGTTCATCCCTACACCATCAACCCTACAACCCTGAGCTCGATTGCCTAAATCCCAAACCCGGGCTTGTTGCCCCGGCTTTTTGGAACAATGCTCCGGTAGTGGGGCATATGGGAGTTTCCGAAAATTAGAGGTACCTATGTTGGGGTCTTTAAAATAAGGATCCTACTATTTAGGGTATTATATTAGGGTCCCCTACTTTCGGAAACTCCCATAACCCTAAACCCTAAACCCTTTATGGAACCCTTATAGATCCCCTTAAGGAACCCTTTAAAGGAACCCTAGGGTCCCCGATTTTCGGAAACTCCCATATGGGCCTGAGGTAGTTGGAGATCATTGGGTTGTGTGCGGCTGAAGGTCTGGAGCTTTAGTTGCAGGGCTTTAATCTTTATAGGCAGCCTGTGGAGTGCTGCTACGATACGGTTTGGGGTTTAGGGTTTAGGGGTTTAGGGGTTTAGGGGTTTAGGGCTTAGGGTTTAGGGTTGGTGATGATGTGTGTACCTTGGATGTACCAGAAGATGGTGCAGCACCGCGGGTGCACTATGAAATGACCTAAATAGTAGAAATAGCAATAGTGGCAGTAGCAGGAAGCAGCAAGGGTCGTAGCAAGAAAACGGCAACGGTCGCGGAAACCGCAAACCGCCAAACCGTAAAACCTATTATAGAACCCTGGCCAAGCGGTAAGCCCCGGACGCCATAGAACCCCTACTATACGACCCTATACCACAAACCACATGTTGTTTATAACCCCTAGGCAATAAACCAACCCTAAGCCATAAACGCTACAGAAATCGCATCAACACCCTATACAAAGCCCGACAGCATTAATCCCCGAAGCCCTAAACCGTAAGCCCGAAAGCCCCAAACCCTAAACCGTCCTAGACCCTAAACCCCAAACCCCAAGCCCTCAAAATCCAAAAGACATCAAAAGACCCTTGACCCTCAACCCAAACAAACCCTGAACCCTGGCCCTTCACCCCATACCCTACAGTATCCCAAGACAGGCGCCCCAAGTGACCTCAGGTCTTCCGGCCCGGACGCGCCAGGAAACCGCCGGCCGCTACCACGGCGAAACGTAAGGGGCTGAGCGGTGCGAACCCTAAGGGTCCAAGTACCCAAATAGTAGGGTTTCAAGGTCCAAAAACCATTCAGAGTATGGATTTTGGGCCCTAAAACCCTACTTGGACCCTCTCGGCACGGGATCCTGTACCGCCTGCTATGAGGATCATGGGGCTCATTTATGGCGAGTTGTGGGGTTTAGGAGTTTAGGGTTTACTTTGAGGATCATGGCACTCAGTAAGTCCGGTTAACAGTCCCTGGATAGGGGTAAAAGCAATGCCAAGTACAGTTCCGCATTTATGACCCCAGTTGCTAAGTCCCGTGATCCTTTAAGAAGGGTTCCTTTTCAAGGGTTCCTTTCAAGGGTTCCAGAAGAGTTACTAGACGGGGTACTCGTTGTAGGGGTTTAGGCTAAGGGGCCTGAATATTTGGAACAGGGTTTTGGGGTTTAGTTTAGTAGAATTGTAATTGGGAACTCAAAGGACTAAAAACCAAAATGCTGAGGTTGTTGTTACTTAAAGGGTGTGAAGGCGCGACGACACGACAGCATCAGGCTGTTGAAGCTGGTATTGCTGCAAGTCCTAAACCCTAAACCCCCCGAAACCCTAGACAGAAACCCAAAACCCGAAACCATGAAAAGACGCCCTAAACCCTAAGCCCTGAACCCTGCATGGTTGCAAACCAGTTGAGCCCTGTCCTAAGCCCAGGTTCGACATGACAGAACCTTCATGCGGTTTAGGGCTTCGGGGATAAAGCTCTAAAGCCCGCCAAATACCAAGTCCCATAAAGCAAGAGCATGAGGCTTCATCATAAACATCCTGCAAAGGCTCCTAGTTTACTTAATAGCTGAGTGGATACACTTTGCACTTTTTGGGATAATATTGCCCAATATAAAACAAAAAGTGTACACTGTTGGGGGGCCTATGAACTCAGCAACTAAGCTTATGTTAAGTTCGCAGCCCCTCAACCCTCAACCCGAAGCCCTGAAGCCTAATCCTTGAGCCCCTACTTGCAGACCCTAAACCCGAATCCCCCAGGCCCTAAATCCTAAACTCTAAGCCCCAAAGACTAAACCCCAAATCCTATACTCTAAACCTTAAGCCTTAAACCCCGAACTCTGAACCCGAAGCCCTAGAGCCTGAACCACAAACCCGAAGCCCTAAGCCCTAATTTTCGATTCTCTGGGTGCTTCCAGTCCAACGTCTCCACCGTTTCTGCAGCAGAGTCCTACACGATCCACTGCCGCAATTGGTTTCTTTGGGTTTGGGGTTTAGGGGTTTAGGGTTGACCTAGAGGCTCATACCCTACCCCTTTTTTAGGGCGCCTACTTTCCAAGATTACAGATCCTCACCATAAAACTAGCTATCCCAAAATTGAGGCAGGGTTAGAGTCTTCGGAGGGCTTTAGGGCTTGAGGGTTTGAGGGTTTAGGGTTGAGCTGCTGTGGGTTTCGATCAGTGACATTTGTGTTGTGGTTTTAGTGGTTTAGGGTTTAGGGTTTGGGCTTTGGGGGTGCGAGCTCGTTTTTTGGAAGTCTGTTTTCGAGGCTCTGGCGCTCATGCCAACCTCATAGCAAACGTATGCGGGCACAGTGCAGCACCAATGAAACGGACGTGTGACTTGTTGTAGTTGTTGAGCAACCTCAGACCAACCCTTAACCATAAAGTTTTGGTATGAGCAAGTACCAGTATGGTGTTTGTGGTTTCCTTCACATAATTGCTGTATCAACTCGCCGACAGCCCCCATCCCTTCTATTTAACCCCACAGCCTTCAGAGCCCGCTGCAGGACTTTGGACCTGGCATTAGTCCCCACAGCCTTCAGAACCCTACAAACCGCACTCGAAGACCTCTAGATGGGAGTTTCCGAAAATAGCGGACCCTAAAATAGTACCCTAAATAGTAGGATCATTATTATAAGGATCCCAAAACAAGGCACCCCCCAATCTCCGGAAACTCCCAGATCCCTGTCGACAAGACTATTTAGGCCCTCTAGGATGCACAGCAGTACCCTTGTTCCCTTTTTGTAGGCCTAGGTTCCTTATAAAGTTACCGAATACCGAAAATGGAGCCCTTTTTATTCCTAGGTTACTGGACATCCTAGTTAAGGGTGTGGTTCACGGTTTAAAGTTTACCCTATGCCTCCAGGGACCTTATTACGGGGTCCTTAAGGGGTCTAGGGCCCTAACTATGAGGTTCTTGGAGGGATAGGGTTTAGGTTTAGGATTTGGGATTTGGGGATTTAGGCCCTTATGTCAGACCCGTCTCGAAGCTGCACTGCAAAGGACTGTCAGAGCCGGCGTGGCGCCGTCAGAGCCGGCTCGCTTTGGAATGTTCTCTTGTCGAGGAACTTAACTTAACTAGGTATCGATTTAGGGTAACTTTTACGTCCCCTTATTGTTTAACGTAGAGCCCTAATCCTACAGCATTTTGGTGAAATCGACTTAGTTGCGTTGGCATCATACGACGAAGGAAAACCTGTGATTTGCAGAGTATTCCTATCGAGTGTGGGGACCTCGCCCGCCGGAACGCACTTTCCAACTTTCCGGCATCCAGCA